TAATTACTTGAAGATGATGAGGGTGAGAGAGTAAATATGTTATTTTCGAAACCAAAAAAAAAAAAAAATTTGATGGCATTTTCGTGAATTATATGAACTTGTGGGGTGAATTGGGCAAAATAAAGTTCCAAAAAAAAGGGAGGTTAGTTTTGTGGTTGACTTCAAGTTTCAGGTCAATTCTGCAAAAAGCCCTTATATATATACACTTCCTTTATCAGTATCTATTCATCTAGTATCTTATATGAACTTGTTCTCGTTTCTTTCTACCAAAAAATATTATACTGTGATCCACACCTTCTATATTTAAATGATATTAAGAAGCTTTATCTCTCAACATATTGAATAGTAATACTACGATGAAAATGGGTCACACGCAAAATAATCTGAAAGTTTGAACCATGATACTAAATTTGGCTTCGCCTCTAATTTGAAAGACGAGTTTATAAGTTTCACACATGCGATGAGTAATACATGATATATAAAAATAAAATCCAAACCTCAAAGCGCAATCAAGTTAACTTTGACATCCCTGCTTAGCATAAAATCTAAACGTCCTTGCATGGCGGTGGCTCGATCCAAAGACTCTCAACAGAGCCTAGTTCTTTTTGCTTACACGGAGAATACCTTCCTTCATCATAAGAGTAGGATACACATTGCTTGTTATGTACGTCATACTTTGGGAAGTACACACTGTTTCTCATTCCCAGAACATTCATTCTAGTCTCCGAACAGTAGCGGCTTGCAAAGATTGTCAAGCCATCAAGTAAAGCGCTACTCATTTCCTCCCATTTTGAAGAGACTAGTTTATACACCACTGGTGTCTCGCTTCCATATGTATACATGAGAAAGAGCTCTCCTTTCTGCTTCATCAAGTAAAAAATCTTCGGTAGATAAATCCATTCACTATTATGAATATTAGGGAATATAGGTTCATCCCATGCTTGTTGATTCAGAGTGCGAGAAGATGGATCAAAGTCAAATAGAACACCTCCCGCGGTGAAGCAGTAGAAGTGACCATTGGCATAGATAAGGTTGCTATGCATATTGGGGTCAAAAGCAATAGAACATGGAAACTCCATATTAATCAACTCAGTTTCTCCAGGATAGCAAATGCTGATGGCCACAAGATATTCTGAAATAGGGTTTAACGTGACCAACACACAAGTACCTGATGTAGGGGCAGAAGAAAAAGCAATAGCCTGAAATGGTAATTCACAGTTTGGCAAACTAATGAGCTCTCGGGAGTATGGGTTGAAGAAGAAAAATTCCACAAACCTTGATTTGCGCATAAGTAACCACCCTTCTTTTGAGAAACAAACATTCATTCCAGCTATATCAGGAAGATTCAGTGAGTACATCTTCCGCTGCAATGGATCGAAGAGATCAAACAAGGTGCCCTGTGTAGGAAAGGAGATAATCCATGGATACTTTTCACCAACCCGAACATGTTCAGTGGCTTCACGCCATGCTTTGCAGACAGCAGATGCACGAATGTTATCCTTTAACAAAAGATACGACATTATTATTCTCAGAAGGCACGATGGAAGGACATCAAAATTGAGAAAAACAAAATTTTGTCACAAAATTAAGAACCTTTGTGCTCCCATTCTCATCCTTGTTTTTAACATCTTCATTAGACCTATAGAAAGAATTAAATCAACAAGATTAAAACAATACACGCACGATATATCAGTATATTAAATGTCCCAAAGGAAAAGTTTTGTTGAATCCGAGATATGTTAACGTTTGAGGAAAGTTACGTAAGTGATTGCAACAATAAAAAAACACACTAAAACCTCCGTCATTGTGTTTGTATATATATATATATATATATATATATATATATATATATATATATATATATATATATATGTCTTATAAACCCTAGATTATCTGACCCTTATATCCGGTTCTTATGCAGAACTGTGAACTACAGTTTTAAACTGTTAATTCAATACGAATTCCACAGATGAGAGTCGTGAGACAAAGATCAAACTACCTTCAGATGAGAGTCATGGGACAAAAATCATACTAGCCGACATCATTATTAATATCCCACATCGGTTGGGATGATGGTCCTTGGGCAATATATAAGTGTATGGGCAATCCTCCACTCTTGAGCTAGCTTTTGGGTGTGAGTTAGGCCCATCACTAATATGGTATCAGAGCCAGGTTTGGCCCAGCATTATGATTTCCCACATAAACAGTTTCCTACCTATGTAGCCTGTAAAAGTGACCCATATGCTGTGGTATTTCCGAGATGTTGGGTTTGGGCTGTTTCCCTATGGACCGTTTCCCACCCACATCTCGAGAGGGGCTATTAATATCCCACATCGGTTGGAATGATGGTCCTTGGGCAATATATAAGTGTATGGGCAATCCTCCACTCTTGAGCTAGCTTTTGGGTGTGAGTTAGGCCCATCACTAATAATCATCTTATGAGAAAGCCCTAATTTTCTGCATAGTGGAAAATAAAAAATCTTTACAGAATTCAGGGTCACCAACTTTACTTAAGATTTTAAATCTTGGATAGGTCATAAAATCCCCTTAATTTCTGATTTCCCTAGATCTGGTACTTTTACAGAGGAATGAAACTAGGATTATATAATTAATTCCAGATTCAACGAAACTTAAGATAAACAAAAATCAAAATAACTTCAGAATCCTGCAAATATAATGGATAATATTCTATCAACAACGTCATAGGAACGTTTGTGATTTTATTATTTTATCTTTCATTATTAAGGAACAGAAAGAAGGGGTGGGTGAGAGGTAGAGACTCACAAGATAAGCTTTGCGTTCCAATCAGTCATTGTAATTTACGGCTAAAAATAAAATGAGAGATGTAAAAAAGTTTTGTGGAAATGATGATAATTATATACTGGAACCAAACGTCACTATTGAATGAAACGCTAACGCTTTTTTTGTTGTCACGCTAACGCTAATTTTGAAGAATCCGTGATAAAGCTCTTTTTCAGACATCTTTAAGTTGTTTTAAACTTTTTAGCAAATTAGCAAAAAATATTTAAACAGTATTAGAGGGGATAAACCTTTATTTTTTAAATGAAATCATGTTAAAAGGAAGCGACAAATGTTTTCAGCATAAAACTTAATGTAAAGGATATTTTTCATATTAATATTGATATTTTAATAGAAATCAATTATATAATAAAGTAAACTAAAACAATCATAGTTATACAAAATCTTATTTTATTTTATTTTAAAACTCGTTAGATATCCTTCAAAAATCAGTGAAAAAATGTCCAAACACTACAACAAATGTGGGTACTAATAGCATCAGATTATAACACTTTTTACAGGTATACTATAATATATCAACACTTAACTTTTGTATAGCGTTTTGTCATTCAAAAACGCTATAATAGTTCTCGCGGAAAAATAAAATGTTTAGCCGCGTAAATTTTCTTAGTGTACGCGCCTTAGCATTGCAAAACTAAAAGGAAACGTTATTGTCAATTAATATATCTAAAGATTTAATATATAAGTCCACTCGTCGATAAAAGTTTAGTTCTTTTTTCGCTTCTCTAAAAACTTTCTTCACTTCTCTAAAAACGAAGTTTTCCAAAACAAAACCTTCTCCATTGTTTCTCTGAGTAATCGAACCTTAAAAAGGTATGTTTTCTTCACTCGTAGCTTCTTTGTTCTTTCTCATCAATCTCGGTTCTTCATTATCATCATAGGAGTTGAAAACGATTTTGATTTGGGGTTTCAATTCTTGGTTTGTGTGAACATGCATGTCGTATCTTGTGATTTTGGGTTTCGATTAAGACTATTTTGGGTAAGGATTTCTAGATTGTTTGAATATGTATGTGGAAGTTTTTGATTTTGGGTTTCGACTTAGACTCTTTTGGGTTTCGATCTACTGTATTTCGTTTGATTTTTTCAGAAATTGTCGCTGAAGAAAAGAGGCGTAGGACAAGTCGGTTCTTGTCGTAGTAGACATAATCTAGGTTTGGAGGTAGAAAAGACAGTGGCTTCCCAAAGAAAACAATGGCTAATTCCTCTAAAAAAGATTGTGGCTTCCCCAAACAAACTAAAGGTGAATAAAAAAAACAATAGCAAAGAAAGTGGCTTCCCCAAAAAAGACAGTGGCTATAACTAAGAGAAGAAGGGGTAGAAAGAAGTAATTAACTGCTAAAGAAGTAACACCGGAGGATGATGAGGTAGATGATGTAACTACGGATGATGATGAGGTAGAAGATGTAACTCCGCAAGCTGATGAGGAGAAGATTTAACTCTGGCAGATGACGCTGTGGAAGAAGATATGGGTAATGAAAATGAGGCTGGTGAGGCTGAAGATGATAAGGAAGATGAAGAAGAAGATGCCAATATTGAATAGAAGTAGGATAAAGAAGAAGATGCCAATATGGAAGAAGAAGGTGAATACGTAGAGGAAGAGAATAATGAGATTGAGAACGAGAAAGAAGAAGAAGCTTTCAATATGGAAGAAGATGGAGTTAGCAATGCTCAACATGATGAAATTCCTAATACTACAGGAGTTGTGTTACCAGAGGATGACGTGAAAGAAAAAATTAAAAGAGGACCAACAAAGATGCGTAAAGTGGCTGAAAATCCTAATGAAAAGGTTGCAGTTATATTCACTGACTTTGGTGAGCATGTTGGACCTGGTTCAGTGACATTATCATCTTTCCTTGGTCCTCTTGTGAGGGAAAACGTTCCGGTAACACTTATAGATTGGAGAAGACTTTATGCAGTAACTAAAGAAATAATGTAGTAAGAAATTCAGGTATGTTTATATACGCAATTAAGTTTTGTAGAACAAGCATGAAATTATAAATATGTTTGATCTTTTTTTATTTGGATGCATGGGAGATTTAACTTGCAAGAAGAGTGGCAGAATGCTATAATATTCAAGCACTTGGGAAGTTTGTGGAGGGATGTGAAGTCAAGGCTAGTGACACAAGTATGTGCTGCGAAGACTACTGCTGAGAAAATAGATTTAAAACCCAGCAACATCCCATCCATTCAAGTGTGGAACTCTTGGGTTATAAGCAAGACTATCAAATCTTTCGTGGTTAATTTTCTTAAACTAAGTAACTTTCTTGTTTATATGTCATGTCTTATAGTTTAAATCATACTGATATTTATATTACAGGAAATAAGTAACAATTATCGAGAGTTGAGAAAAAAATCAGATTCCTAACATAACCAGTCGCAAAAGAATGCTTTGTTTAGCTTATGATATGGTAAAAAGCGTACTCAAACTTCTATATATTAATGTACAGTTTGTTTGGATAAAATGGTAGTGAGTATGTATGTGTTTAGATAGAGAAAAAAAAGATCCAAGATTCAAGTAAGGTAAGTTGTTGGGGTCGAAATCGGTACGACGGAATCAATAGCCAAAATTCCCCGCAAAAAGGAATAGTTTTATGAAACCCATGAAGTCGTTTTATAAAACGAGAAGCCATTTTATAAAACTCGAGAAGATCATTTTATAAAACTCGAAGATCATTTTATAAAACACGAGAAGCCGTTTTATAAAACTCGAAGATCGTTTTATAAAACTGGAGAAGCCGTTTTATAAAACTCAAAGATCGTTTTATAAAACTCGAGAAGCCGTTTTATAAAACTCAAAGACCATTTTATAAAACTCGAAGATCGTTTTATAAAATTCGAAGATCATTATATAAAACTTGAGAAGATCGTTTTATAAAACTCGAAGATCGTTTTATAAAACACGAGAAGCCGTTTTATAAAACTCGAAGATCGTTTTATAAAACTCGAAGATCGTTTTATAAAACTGGAGAAGCCGTTTTATAAAACTCAAAGATCGTTTTATAAAACTCGAGAATCCGTTTTATAAAACTAAAAGATCGTTTTATAAAACTCGAAGATCGTTTTAAAAAACTGGAGAAGCCGTTTTATAAAACTTGAAGATCGTTTTATAAAACTCGAGAAGCCGTTTTATAAAACTCAAAGATCGTTTTTATAAAACTCGAGAAGCCGTTTTATAAAACTCAAAGATTGTTTTTATAAAACTCGAGAAGCCGTTTTATAGAACTCGAAGATCGTTTTATAAAACTCGAAAAGCCATTTTATAAAACTCAAGAAATCGTTTTACAAAACCGCGAAAAACCGAAACAGCCACGAAGCACGAACTAGTCGCAACTAGTTCGCCTGCTGGTGAACTAAGCCAGGCTGGCTTAGTTTGCATGCAGGCGAACTAGAGGCTCATCAACTAGTTTGCCTGCTGGCGAACTAAGCCAAGCTGGCTTAGTTTGCCAGCAGGCGAACTAGACGGTCCCAGACTAGTTCGCCAGCAGGCGAACTAGGCACTCCACGGCTAGTTCGCCTGCTGGCGAACTAAGCCAGCCCGTCTTAGTTCGCCAGTAGGCGAACTAGGACCTCCTCGGCTAGTTCACCAGCAGGCGAACTAGAGATCTCCCGGATCTCCCGCGGCCCCGATTCGAACCTTACATCCTTCGACACGGTCACATTTTGAACCACGGCCAAAATTTCTCTCGTTTCGTCTCGATCC